ATTTCTTAATATTTTTTTGATAGGCAAAATTGTTAAATACGACAAGTTACTGATAAATAGAAGATTTTTCTTTGTGAAAAATACTTTGATTTTTATGCAGTAACTTATCGGGGTATACTAAAAAGTTTGCCCTTCTACACTTGAATAAAGTTCTCCATTATAATTTTTATATTTTTCAGATTGGGGAAGGTAACAAATACCCCAAAAAAGATCGATAAAAAACTGATTTTCCTCCACAAAAAATTACTTTCGTTGAATTCACAAATTGTTTTATTATTATTTCTGTTACAATAAATGAATAAACTACAAAATTGTCTTTTATAAAGCTTTGAATCTACAACATCTCACTATTCAGTGAATGGATTGCCCCGATTTAAAACCAGAATGCATCAACCGATTGGTAAAGAAACAAAAGTGTGAAGGTAATTCAAATGAACAATTAAGGTTATCTATGCTGTGACTCAACTTAGCAAGTAGATTTCGAACCGTGTTTAATTTAATGATAAGTACGTAATGAAATATACAATTCAAGTGATTCTATAACATATTTCAATGAAGTAATGGGCTTCCGTTGATATCGTTGATAAATGAATTGATTAGAATGACGGAAATCTAACATAGGCCTGACAGAAAGGTCAAAATTATAACATAGTATGTAACATATTTGACGCTCTCGTGATCGCTTGGGAAAAATTAACCATAGAGCACAATTGATATACAATGATCATTTCCCCAAATGCAAAAAATATAAAATAGTTGAAGGCTAGGCACAGCGTTTACAGAGTATCGAAGCGATTTTAACAGATTTTGCTCGTCCACCAAGGCCAATCAATCGAAATGTAGCATTACTTAAAAGTTTGAGATAACGGATTGAAGTTTTGGATAAAACTTTCAGATATTAACGCATTGGGTTTTTTTGAAATGTCTTCAATATATAGGCCGTTTCTTTTATCTTGTGGTAACATAACTATATTTTAAACCGTAACAAATATGAAGACAAATCAATGGGAAAAAAGGTAATTGTCATCGGAAACAATACAATGGTTGAAAAAAATTTACGGGGACTCTCGCCCTTCTCGAGTTATACGGGAAAAACCAAAAATGCTGTTTTTGTTTTTTTTTTCGAATGGAATTGTTATTTCGGAAAATATTAAAAAATGGAAAAGAAAAATGTAATTTTTTTAAATTTAGGATTGGCCTGTTACAACAATTATGGTAATTAAGATTGTTCTTCACGAGAAATTTCCCACAAAATCTATGATGAATCCAACATTGTATGTAACTTTTGTAATATGTATTTGTATATTTTTTCAGTGTAAATAAACGTTATTATTATTATTACCAATCTAGTCTTCGAAGAATAGAGCTTCAGTGGGATTCTTTGAAAGACATTTTTTGTAGAGGACTACGTCAATTCTAGCATTTGATGTAGATTGCCATGAAGCTTTGATTTTCCGTATTGGTTTAATTTGTCCCAAAAGATCATGATAAAATAAATTGTTTTTCTGTTTGATTGTTGTCACTGATGATGGTGGTTATTTCAAATGAAACGCTATAAAAATATCAAATGTGATATACCCTTGAATTGTGAATGTATTGCTTTATCAACATCTGTAATAAAAAAGGCAGGCCCGTATTTAAAAAAAAAGTTGAGGGTAGCCATGTTGACACGAAACGTTTTATCGAATATTTATTATTACATCGTCATAGTTTAGAATATAGCAATGTTACCACATGATAAAAGAAACGGCCTGTATATGGTTCTTAGAAAAGGGTGATCTATCAAAGTTGACTTTTTTTGAAAGAAATGACATATATTGCTTTTCATATTAGGATTACGTCAGGAAAGTACTTTGAAAAATATAAGTATGGCTATATACTGAGCGGTTCAGAAGTTATTCCAAACATAACATCCAAATATGTATTGAAAAGTCTGTTTTGTTATGAAGATGTTGGAAATTTAATTTTATAAAAACTTTTTTCAATACTGGGTTGAATCGGACTACGTCATAATTTCAGTCTCATTTTAGGTTCCTATCACCCCCTAAAACTGATTTTCTATGTGGAGTTTTTTTCAATTAGTGGATTGAAAAAAAATAATGGGTTCTGCTAGTTTTACTATTAAACTAACCTAACTTATCATGGCCATATTTATTTCTTTTTCCACACTTCACGTTGCTGTATGTTTTCAAAATAGAGTAAATGACGATATATAGATTTTATCTCTCCTTTTCGAATAAAAAAGGTATCTTATGCTTATCGCTACGCTACACACTGGATACATTACTATTATATACTGAATGCACCATCGAGATAATATGTTCCACATCCAATATAACCGACCTTTTCATTTTTAGAAACTCCCACTGCAACGAAGGAACAATGAAGTTAAGTGCATAAAGTGTGTTCGGTATTCGTTTCAAGGGGTTACCAATATTTACACATGAAATAAACACTAGGCGAAGAAACGCTGTTTTTACATGATAAATGCATCCTTTCCCGTAGATGGTCATGGGTGGGTGTCTTCTTCACCATCTTTATTGACTGAAAACAACGGCACCGAAGATTACTAGTGTGATTTTACTACTAGAATATATGATTTATGGAAAATATAAGACATGAACTAACGTACCATAAGAAAAGTTGAATTTGACAAACACTGAACGTCAGTGGGTCGCAGTTGGCCGCATCATTTTAAGTTAAATTTAAAGCGTAAACAAGTGCCGAAGTTTAGCTTCATTGAAACTTTTCGAAAAAAAAGTCTCCCATATGGTGCGCACTTTAATGGTGACACTGTATGTAATTTTTGTGATGAATATTTGATTTTTGAGAATAATCATCCTTTATGAACACATACTGTTAAATGAAATGAGTAATTTTGCCAATCATAGATCAAAGTACTCCTGAGGTTATCTCAGGTAAATCTGTTTAAAAATCTGTTTTATGGTTAACCAGCTGTCGCACCCCTACGAACGACAACCCTCAGAAGTCGAAACTTGTGCGAGCTAAGGATTAACGAGGTCTTACCTTTCAACGTGTGATTCCTAAAAAGGAATAGTGATCGTATTTAACGACGTTCTTTTGTGAAATTTTGTTTTCTTCGCCTCAATTATGAAAAGCGAAAGTTTTCAAGTGGATTTTTTGTTTTGGAAACGGAAGAATATTGTTTTCCGAAACGTCAACCACTAAAGAAAGTTAAGTATTGGCATTTTATTTTTTTCAATAGCTTTTTCAATTTGTAGGCAAAATTTATGAATACGACAGGTTACTGACTAATTCGATTCTTCAGTGGTTTAAATTACACAGCAACTTTTCGAGGTGAATTTTTCAGTTTGCCCTTTATTACAGTTCAGAAGATTATTGATTTAGGTTTGTTCATTTTTCAGATTGCGGAAGGTTATGTGCCCCAAAAAACAGTAAGAAATACCCCGCCTATATTTTTGATGGACTAGGGACTAGGGTGATACTTGTACAAACATTTAATTGTGAGATTATCACATACTTTAGGCTCGATAAATAAGAATTTTCATCTTCCATCAATTGAGAATCACATATCTACTTCTTCACCCTACCTAAAAACACGTATTCGTCAACATACTAAAAGATGTACTTAAAGGCATTCAAAAACACGTTTGGCGATAATATAGTTTTTTCACTTATATCATATTATTAGATATAAAACTTACACAACAAACAAAATCCGTTGGCTATCAGAACTTATCGCAATCACTAACTCCATTAAAGAGGAGGAAGTAGTACTTTGAGGTGAAGTTTTTATAGAGGATACCGCCCGCCTCTTTAGAAGCGACCAAAGCGCCGCCTTTTGAATCAGAATATTGTTTTGGATTTCGTTGATTTTCTTACCGGCTATGAGTCATACAGTCGCAGATAACTTATTTACGTTTCAATACTCCTCTATTAAGCGTTTTAAAAATATCGCTATTGATTTGTAGTAGTGCTCGGTTGAAGATCGACCTGGCGCACGTCTATACGAATCACATTTATAGTACAGTCAAATTATATTTTCCATATACGTTAGCTTATTTAACTTTATTGTTGAAAAGCCATGTTATTAATTTAGGTTTTATTTTATATAGTTTTATTGTTAAAAGTGGCAAACCAACAAATATCGACAAGCGATTCCTCGAACAATAGAGAAATATAGTGACAATTTCTACTAAAGCAATCTTCAACTCGGCCAGTGTGAACTTTGTCTGGGCTATTGCAATTCTATTAAACGAATAGTTGAGTCAATTTTTCCAGTGTTCACTTGAATAATTTTGTGTTTCTTACCGTAGAAGCGACGAAGAGAACCATGTTGTACATATTATGAAGGCAATCGCCAGCAAATATATTAAAATTAGACTATTCCGCAATAGCAAATGCGCCATAGATCACTCTGGTAGCGATAAACAAAAAATCAATAATTCAGTTTATTTAAGGGACAATAATCTTATTCCCTATTATTTTTGTATTTTGCTAAATTCATCATTTTGTTGAAATACATTTCATTTTGGTGAATTAGATTGCATTATTCATTTATGTTATACCCCTAACCTCCAAATCAAGGCTCAGGATGTGGAGTGTACTCCAGATCACTAAGCCTAAGGATTAAGTGGGGAATGGGAAAAATACCAGCGTGGTTCAATCAGAACTGGCTGGTATCTCAATCGCCACAAAAGAAATAACCAGGAAAGGAATTTCTGGCAAAAACATAACAATCTGCACTGATAGCAGACAATCCATATTAGCCTTGAACAGATAACGTGTTACCTCAGAGCTAGTACTAGAATGCCACCAAGATTTAGCCAAAGCCTCGGTAGATAATAACATTATCCTGAGGTGGATTGAAGGGCACGACAGGTGTAAAGGTAATCGCGTAGCGGACTCTTTAGCCAAGGAAGCGGCTGGACTGAAAATTTCAGGACCTGGTGACACCTACGGCTTGATGACTTCGACAATTGCGGAACTAGTCAAACGTCACGCCCATGCTCAAGCCCTAAAGAGATGGGATAAAATCAAAGGATGCAATCTTGCCAGGATCACCCTGGACGAACCTGGGAAGCTGGCGCCGAAGAAATATCTGACGATGACAAGGAAAAATCTACGCTTAACAGTAGGATTTCTGACTGGCCACTGGCAACTAAAGAAACACCTCCATAATATAGGGCTAGTGGACACACCTCTGGAACAGGATGTGTGAACAGGAAGATGAAACTGTCAGGCATGTCCTATGCGAATGTCCGGAGTTATCGTCAATAAGAGAGTGGGTTTTCTGCGAGTCTTGGCCTATACCTGCCGATATAAGAGAGATGTCTCCCAGAGACCTGTTCACCTTCCTGGAAAGGACAGGATGGACGAAGACCTAGGAGGACAACTCCTCGGGAGGATGTACAATGGGTCACATGTGGCTTAAGTGCTGTGGGCCTACACTCACCCTCCCTACTCTACAGACACAGATAACCACAAAATTTTCCACGTCGTCAATCACACATATGTCTTTCCTATCCAGTACTTATTGCTACTATAGAGTACACGTGGCGAATTTGTCATCTAGGAAAAAGTTTGGTGTTTTAAAATTCTCTCCAAATTAATCATACCAATATGGCGACCATTTCCCCCGCACCAATGCCAGTGTCCTCAACGATAACGTCCTCACTCCGTCCCTAGTATTCCTTTGTGTACGAGTTTGATCGATTTTCTCTGCGTATCATCCAACGCGTACCAGGAATCACACAATAAACGGTAAGATCTCGTGAATTCTTAGCTCGCACAAGTACAGACTTCTGAGGGTTGTCGCTTATTTTAATAAGTTGTATCCCTTTTGTTTTCATCTACAGAATTTCACGAGCAGTGTCACGTTGAGTTTTCAATTATGCACCTTCATTCGAAACAAGAGTACAAGTACGTTATCTACTCCCCTTTAATGGGCAGATACCAATCATTGGAAATGGTTAGACATCACAAATAAATAAGGGAGAAATGAATCTTGATTTTGGGTCAAAACATTTTACTTCATGTTATCGGAACACGAATATATCACATTTACCTACCAGAAAACATCTGAACGCCTCAAAACTAAACGTAGCTACTTTAAACACCTCTTAGTTTGAAATATCTGAAACATCTAGTCGTAACCTTGGAAAGGAAGATCGTAAGATGGAGAAAACCTAAAACGAAATGGAACCTGGCCATAATAAAACTAAGTCGCGGAAACATTAAACTTTTACGTATTAGAAATACAATAATCGAAATTGGCATTCGCTGACTCAAACCTCAATTTGGATAATGAGACAGTTAGAGAAACATACACAACTTTATCACGTATCACGATTACTAATCAGCTTCAAATGGGGAAAATGTGCTCTATATGGTCCTCGATAAAAACAATTATTTCAGTTAATGATATTTGTTCGAAATAACGATACCACAATACGTATTTTTGGTGCACCATAAACCAAATCATGACCAACGCGAATTCCGAGTTCAGGGTCGAAACGGGATGAAAAAACCGGGTGAAACATGGTAAGGAAAATATTGCACATTACAAAAGTTCTGAGGTATCATCTGAAGAAATGAAAACTCTAATATTCAGTTAAAATTATCATACAAGCCAGTCAAAAATTATTATCATGGTTGATCATCAGACGACGAGCCTTCATCAGCCTCAAATATATGAGGTAGGCTGAAAAGTTTCTAGGCTACTAGGTGCTACCTAGTATTGAATCCATGTGATTTTTAGTTAACCCTAACCTCCAAAAGACACGTGTACAAATTTCACAGCTATCGGACTAGTAGTTTATGAGGTGGAACATTTTGAGTGAAGCAACTTTTGATTGGAGAGTATGGATAAAAAGAAATTTCGTGTGTTAATAATAAAGCATTCGGCTAATAAAAAAAATCTTTTTTTTCTACGTTAGCCTACGAACTTTTCAGTCCTAGTGTTATAAGAACGCAAAATAAACTAACTGGCATTAGATTCCAGTTATGGAGTTTATTATGCCTTAAAAAATGATAAAAAAACTATTTCATGGTTCATCATTCAGGAAATATCGAAGATAAATCATTGGTTGATAACGCTGGCGCGCCCTCCCGAATGATTCGGGGCTACGGGGGATAGGGCCTGACCAGCGCACACTACGATGAAAAATAATAATAATAATAATTTGAATTTATTCAATTTTCAGTACAAAGATTAGTCAATAACAATTTGAACAATCTAAACAAATTCAGGAAATCCTGTGCGTGGGTAAGATTATTCTATTCTTCATATATCACAACCTGCCAAAGGAACCCAAAGGTTAAGTGGAAGAGCAATTGAATGATGACTTGTCATCATGTAAAATGAACTTCGCCTTTTATGTTCATATAATAAATGAACTGTTCCTGATTAATTTGCTTTAAATGTATTAGAAGATAATAAAGACGATATTGTTATTATTATTATTGAATTCATCAGTTTAGAAAATATGGAAGAAAAACTGAAAAGTAAGATTCTATTACCATAAAATAAAATCGATACATTGACTTTCAAATATTTCTTCAGTTCACGAAGAAGGGTGTACATAAGTATTTATGTTAAAATGATAGCTTATAAAATTCTAAAATAATAAATTGACAGTAACATAAAATTTTCAAGTACAAAACTTTCATTCACAACCATCAAGATGAAGAAAATAAAACTACACATCTTTGTGGAGAGTTAATTTTGAAATCAATTGCTTTCTTCCTTCTTTGGAAGTTTTCCACATCATTTTATTACATCACACTATTTATATGATATCAAAGCTTATCTCAAAACTAAATTATTTTATAAAAACAACAATATTTTTTAGAATTACTCATGTAGAGATCAAGTTATATATTTTATTCTTTTTTTCACACAGATAAATATTTTTTCCAAATTGAAAAAAACACAATGTCCACTTTATTTCTGCTTTCTTAATTTTTTCCTAATAATGTTTAAAAATTATTCTTTTTTCACACAGATAAATATTTTTTCCAAATTGAAAAAAACACAATGTCCACTTTATTTCTGCTTTCTTAATTTTTTCCTAATAATGTTTAAAAGTTACTTCGAAAATGTGAATGAAATTGATAATATTTATTAGACAATAGCGATATCAGCCACGTTACAATGCACTTTGTAATACAAACCAATCATTTACTGACGAAACATATTTGTAATGTATATGTTGCACAAACTATACTACAAAACGTGTTCTTCAGCCTAGAGAGAAATATGTGAACCTTGAATTTTAAGAAACAAGTTGAAGGATTCAATACTATGTCTAGACAATCATAAAAATAAAAGTTTTTCGACTTACGTAAACAGTACACTCAAATTTGGATATCTGATACATACAAACAAAATTCTCTTCTCCCAACTGAATAAACCGGTCACAACTTATCCTCATTTATCAAAAATCACACAAGCAGAATGTCTCAATTATAATTTCAAAGAATGTTAACATGGAACTTCCTCTGATCCCGAATAAACAAAAATCCGTATGGCTAACCTTTCTAACCATTGCTAACTATTCTGAAGTTGCGAAATCCATCCTGATATTAGTCGTTTTGAACCCCTAGCCCTAGATAATCTGCTAGTTGCGGAAGGCCTAATAAACTTCAGAACATCTTCATACTTGCACTTAACTGTTTCCAAGTAAGTCGTTTTCTCGGTAGTGGCAATAACGGGACCATTGCATTTTGTCACGCAGAAACGAGAGTGAAATATTCTGGTAGGACATACAGGGTGTTCATTGAGTACTTTAGAACTGACAATATTTCCTAACAATTTATCTCCATCTAAAAAAAGTTGTGAAACTGATCTTCAAATGCTTAGCACTCGTAGGGTATACGCCGATATTATATTTCTACACAAAATACTCAAATCTTCATGTTCCTCTTAGACAAACATGTAACAAACATACATTCGCCACTGAATACCACAGATTCAATTATGGAAAGTATTGTCCCCTTCCACGAATTGTTTTTAATTGAAACAAAGTGGATATGGACTATTTTGAATTATTCGTCATGAATTATCGAAGTGAATCACGAGTCACTCTCATGAATTTCATTTTTCATTTATATCACACTTTTCTTATCACTGAGAATAGCTTAGCCCCAACCGATACTGAAGGGTCTTCTAACAGGGACTTCCGAACTTTGACAATTGATAACGACCATTTTGTTGAAACTACATCTATTAAAGTTGTCATTTGTTCAGTCTGTTTTACCAAATCACCATAAACGGCATTCAACAACACGCGCAAATAATAAAATTGTTTTATCAAAATGGGCGTTCTGTTCGT